ATACATATATATATATATATATATATATATATATATATATATATATATATATATAATATATATATAAATATATAAAATATGTGAAAAATTGATGTGGGTACTCAAATGAAAGCTCTTGATAAATGTAACATCAAGATGAGCTTATATTTTTAAAAACATCAATATTTAAGAAAGTACAGTGCAATTTAACAAAAGTCATTATTTAATAAAACAAAATTTTATTTTTTTATCGTTCACAAGTCACAGCAGTCACGTAGTGACTGCAAGGTTGTTAGTAAATTAAAAAAAAAAATTTATATTACTCAAAACTTTATTTATAAACTTTAAATTCAAATTTTGGAAAAAAGGTTTTTTGTAGAAAATTTTATTTCCTATAAAATATGATTCTTATCGTTTTTTTCTTCAATATTTTAGCTATAATTATTACTTGTTACTTTTGAAAACTAAGGACAAGTTTTAAAACTTTATTTTTGGAGTATAAATTTAAATTTTGAAAAAAAAAAAATGAAAGGTAGGGCGAAATTATTAAGAATTTTTTTTGTAGAAAAATTAAATTCTCTATAAAAAATGTCTAAGATAATTTTTCCCTATTTTCAATATTTTACCCATAATTTTGAATTTAATTTAAAAAATTCATAACTTTAATAAATAACTTTTTGCTATTAATATCATATTGCAAAATTCAACCATAATAATAATAATAATAAATAATTATTAATAAATATAACAATAATAAATAATAAAAGACAAGTTAATAAATAAATAAATAACTACCTTTTTACGGCCATTATCAGTAGCATACTGAAAAGCGAACTCAGCAACTCGACTTGAAGCTTCCTCAGTGATAAGTTTTATCGACTGAACGACGCCGTCCACAATCTCATGTTCGATACCAGAGTATTCACCTTCTGTGTTTTCACGGATAGTCACTACATCAACGTTATCATAAAGAGTTTTGTAACCTTCCAATGATCTACAGGGTCTCACGTTAGCATACAAGTTGAATTCTCTGTCAACAAGAATTAGCAATCACAATTACAATCACTGTTCATTGATATTATCAGTATAATTTATGGACTATAAATAAGGAAGTGAATTATGTAATAATTACAATTAGAGTATATACATAAATAGTAGTAACCTTGTAGTAAAAAAGAGTAAACTTACTTTCTTAAAGCTAAATTTAAAGATCGATGTCCTTTGCCGATTGGAGTCATCAGCGGACCTTTCAGGCCGATTTTATTTTTATTTACGGAGTCAATTGCAGCTTGGGGAATTCCGAATTTTCCGTCTGGACCTCTTACTGGGGTCACGTCTACTGTCTCCCACTCAATTGGTACCTAAAATTAATTAATTAATAATCTTTATTCATATCATTCTCATCGATAGTCAATTTATAATGATAAGTATTTAGGCTGCATTTGAAAATATCTCTTGTATTTGTATCTTATGAACTATTGACATTTTTAAAGATATAAGCTCACCCCGACATTACACTCATTGAGACCTTTCATTTGAGTACCCACATGCATTTTTGATATATTTTTCATATATTTGCATATATAATATATATAAATATATGAAAAATTGATGTGGGTACTCAAATGAAAGGTCTCGATGAGTGTAACAACGAAATGAGTTTATTTCTTAAAAAATGTCAATCATTAAGAAAGTACATTGTATCTTTTGAACTATTGAAATTTTTAAAGATATAAGCTCACCCT